CCCCACGTTGGGTGTAGAGATTACTTAAAAATAAATAAATAAATAAAATTCCTTTAAAAAGATGTTATAGGGGGTGCCTGGGTGGCTCAGATGGTTAAGCGTCTGCCTTCGGCTTAGGTCATGATCCTAGAGTCCTGGGATCGAGTCCTGCATTGGGCTCCCTGCTCCGCGGGGAGCCTGCTTCTCCCTCTGCCTCTGCCTCTCTCTCTCTCTCTGTGACTCTTATGAATAAATAAATAAAACATTAAAAAAAAGAAAATATTTTTTAAAAAAGATGTTATGGGGCACCTGGGTGGCTCAGTCATTAAGTGTCTGCCTTCGGCTCAGGTCATGATCCAAGAGTTCTGGGATCGAGCCTGGCATCAGGCTCCCTGCTCAGCGGGAAGCCTGCTTCTCCCTCTCCCACTCCTCCTGCTTGTGTTCCCTCTCTCACTGTGTCTGTCTCTGTCAAATAAATAAAAATCTTTAAAAAAATAAATAAAAATTTAAAAAATAAAAAAATGTTATATATACAGAAACAAGTAGCATCAGAAAGAAAGAGCTGTCCATGATTGACTGGCTCTACATAACATCAAAGCAACACTGAAAAGAGAAAAGTTCAGGTAATCAATTGTTTCTCAGTACTATATAAAACACATACATTCCAATGACTTGTTAAAAAACTTATTCAATTGGTTTGGACATCTTGGATAAACATTGCTTTTATGTACTCACATTTCTTAACTTTTTAGTTCTGCAACAATTCAGCCAATACAGAACTATTACCCCCCCACCCCACCTCAAATCCTCATTCTAGCCTATGAAGTTGCACAATCCAGAGACCATGACGCATTTAAGTAGCTCTTTCTGTACCTAGAAGAACAAAATCCTATTTAAAAATCATTTCAGCCTATTTATCAAGTGCTTAAATTCTATAATATTATTTATTTGCATTTGAAATCTTAATATTTATTTTGCAAAACACCTCACTTCAAAAAATTTGAACATTTAATTTTAAGGCAAAAAGTAAAAGCTACTCAGTTCATGACTTTCAAATTTTCCATACATAACTTCATTCCACCCCCTCCATATTCTCTTTTTAGAGACTGAAATTTAACCAGGTCAGTTCTGGTCTCAAACAACAATTTCATATGATTTCCAATAGCTATCTTTGGAGCTAGATTGAATCATTTGTTAAATTCTAATATTTTAAATTTATAAACTTCAGAAGGAAGACAGTTTTTGAAGCTGACAAAAAAACAATCAGAGAACAGCAGTCTTTTTGTGTGCCGCCCAGAAAGTCAGTTACAAAGTGGTCCTATTGTGTTTCTCATAATTTACATTTACTTTTTTGGCAGAGCAGAAAGGAAAAAAATAAGAAGTCAAACTTAGAGGCATACAACAAAAATGAAAGAAGGCATTTTTATTTTAAAATGTCCCCGTGACATTTAGACATCCACAAACCCAATATTTAACATTTACAGGAGATAAAACAGTAAAAAAAAAAATGCAGCTGTTTTTCTGTGATGGCATTGAACAGGTGTGATACCATTTCATACCATAGAAATTGGATGGATCTCTTGCTGATGCCCACAGGAGGCCCATATGGAACCAATATTGACCTATGTCTCATTTCCTTGAATTGGCCAGAAGATAACCCAGGCCAACAAGAGTCCTAATGACTGATCTGTGCCGATTCAGAGCAGACATTCTCCCAAACAGATCAATACTATCCAAGGTGCAGCTGAAAAACAGGATGAGCTTATATCATTAAACAAACACCAAGCTGCTTATTCAAAAGGGCAAAAGCAACACAGCATTTGTGTTTTCCACAGTGTGTTTGCCAGTGACCTCAACCCTGACCTGCAGGGCCACCCTCTCTGGGGCGAGAAGTAATCCCATATCGGGTCTGCCTCTGTACTGGGGCACTCCTATGAGAGGTGGCATTTTTTACAAGGAGAGCTAGCTACCGTGTCTGCTTTGGCCAACCTAGACAATTACATGATGCCAAAGCAATTAGTCAATGCAGTTGATTTAGTCAAATGACCAGCCTGAGTATTTGGCATTATGTAGACAAAAAATAAAATTGAAACAGAATTTTCACTTTTTACCCATCATACGGAATTGTGTAGACACACCTTAGATTAAATTAATTTAGAAAGTGTTTATGACACCAGTTGTCTCTCTATATATAAATTAAAATAAGTATTTAGATAAACCAAATACTTCTGATAAAAAGTCAAGATATTTTTATTAACACCCGCAAAACTGACTCTATTCCAATTTTTATTTAGTCACACAGATCTCCCCCAAAAAGTCACATTGTATCTACCTGTATGCTCTTCTTATGTCAACATACTGTATATGCACATGTAATTGAACAAGTTAAATCTAATAAGAACATGCAAGTCACATCACTATTTTCATTGGTATATGTTATAAAATATGAAGAAATTATGATCTTTAAAACCATCTTCCCAGAAGTACTGGGAAAATAAACCATGGATTAAAATGTGACCCTACATTCCTCCAAGCAAGATGACTTCATATATAACCAAGCATAAGTAAAATTTAAATGTTTTGTATGGTCCTAGGGTGAAAAATCTAATTACAATCAGATTTTCCAAGTTTTAAGGGGCTACAGTGGATTCAGGACCAATAAATGTATTTAAACAGGGGCAAATATAAATTCATATAATTATGTTTGGATCTTAAAATTTTTTAATGGCTATTGGTAGCACTGCCATAAGATTCAGCCATCTACCACCTAAGATCTTTTAGGTACTTAGAATATGTCATTTATTTTGCAATCCTAGATACATGGTTTGATAAACCCAGCTAAAACAAAAGCTGTGTCACTTGCTATTAAAAGACAAATTTTTACACATATAAAAAAGTCAAATAACAATAATTGTTAGCTTTCCCCTTTCTTTCGACTGTTTTCCTTGGGGAAAAGAGACCTGAAGGGGAGGAAACAAACTTTCCCTCCAGCACTTTAGTATACAAGCACTATATCCACCTCCCTGAATAAAGAAGAAACAAATTCAACTTTGGAACTCTGCCATTGAGTGGCGGCTCCTGCAAAGGGGACAGTTTGCTATTAATTGTTAATGTCGTCTGCCATTAGAGGGCACTAAACAACTCTACATTAATGCTGCGTTGGAGGGAAGAGAGAAAGGAAGACGGGAAAAGAAAGAGGGGAGGGGGAAAGGGGGGGAGAGTTTGAGCAGACTTGGGGTAAGGGAGGGAAAAAGAAAAGAGAAGGGGTGGGCGGACGGGAGGGAAGGGGAGAAGAGGGAAGAGAGAGAGAGAGAGAGAGAGAAAGAATAAATCTGGAAAATTTAAGAAGGATGTGAAGCCCCCAGAGCCGTCTGAAGTCACCAAAAAGCCAGCCCCCCACCCACGGGCCGCCCGCACCCCTCCTCTCCCGTCCCCAGGACGATAATTATAAAGCGAAAAGCAGCGGCGAGGTCACCCGTTTTTACCAGCCTGCTGCACCGAATGCGCGCGGTGCAGGTGCGGCGGCCGCGGGGCTTTGTGATTCATGCCCACTTTCAAAGGGGGGCTTGGGCCCGTCTGAGAGGCACCCAAACAACTGTCTTCTAATATTAGCACGGCTGTATTTCGGGATCTATTATAGTCTGTCCAGACAGATCCCATTGTAATGGGATCTTTTATTAAAAGATTAGCACTATCTCCTGCAGTTGGTGGAAAAAAATCTGTTATCACTGAGTTATTTGCAGTTGTGGAGGGGGGGTTGATGGAAGATGGGGGGGTGGGAGGGCGAGAGGAGGAATGGGGGGGCGGTCTGGCGGGGGGAGGCTTGAGGGAGGGCGAAGAGGGGCGGATTTGAAATCCGTAGAACAAATCTCAGTGACCTGCGAATATCCAAGAATTTAGTCTGCATACTTCGCTGTCTGTTGTCCTTCGGGCTCCAGAAGCGAAAAGAATGGAAATTTAAAAGGCAGCTTTGGAATAAACAATATAGCATTTTCCGTGAAGTAATCGTTTTATATAAAAGGAAATATCGCCTCCTCAGTTTCATTCAGCGGTGCCAAAAATGTTATAAATGAGAGACCCGCCAACTTTCAGCGAAGAATGCCAGGCACTGTGCTTAATAAACTGAGGCTACAGAAGTTCATTATCGATGTTGCAATCTTTTTTATTCCGCGAACGGGGAGAGAGAGAGAGCGCGCGAGCGAGCGAGAGAGAGCGCGAGCCGAGGAGACTGGGAGAGACCGACAGAGACACACAGGACAGAAACTGGGGAGTCTCCGAGCCGTGGGGGGGGGGCAGACCGCCTACGTCGGCGCCCCCGCTCCGGGCTCCGACTCCAGACGCCGCGAAGTGAAAGGGGAGAAAAGAAAGGGAGAGGGCGAGACTGTGACGGCGAGGTGGGGGGGAAGGCTGGGCCTGAGGTGTTAAACATTTTTTTTTTCTTGTGACTCGTCGAGACCAAGGGCCGCATCTCGGCCCCTCTCAGCCAAGGTGGAAGGCGCCGGGGCGGGGGTTCATAACCCCAACTCTGGGCTGGGGGTGGCCGCAAAGTCAGGCAAGCACAGACCCAGACACAAAACCTCGCCGGTCCCGCGCCGGGGCTGCGGGGGCCTAAAACCGCCGCGCGCCCCGGCGAAGCGCCGGGGCCAGCGCGCTCCGACCCGCCCGCGAGCGGGCTATTTCAGCAGCTCCGGGCTCTCGGGGCGTTTGCAAAGTCTTTCTGGAGCCGAGGAGCGATGGAGCAGAGACAAACTCCCGGGTTTCCCCCACACACACACCCGCTCCGCCCGCCGCCTCCTCCTCCAGCGCCCCCACCGCGCCCCCCTCTCTCTCTCACACACACATACACACTCACACACTCACACACCCGCCACCCCGGGCGCGCCGGCGTTGCCTGCGAGCGGCGGCGTGCAGGACTTGAAGTGGGTGTTCTTCCCCACTCCCCACCCCCGAAGCGTCGCCCCCACCCCCCGCCCCTCCGCCTTCCCCCTCCCTCTCCCTCCTACGCAAATAAGAACTCGGCGATTCCCCTCCTGCCGCTTTGATTTCGGGCACCTCCAACAGATAATTGGGAAGGGTTTCCAGAAGGTGGGAAATGTCACCTGATTCACACTGAACTTTTAAAAGCTCCCCACCCCCAAGGAGCCGCGCACACCCTTGCTCGCGGCCGCCCTCCCACTGCCCCACACACTGGGAGACCGCCCACCGCAAACCGCGGAGACCCCCGTCTAGATTTAAAGCGCGGCTGCGCCCGGCTTCTGACGTCCATTGAATCGCGCGGGCGGCCGGCGGCGAGCGCGGGGCTGCGCCGGGATCGCTGCGCCCTCCGCCGCTCGCCTTTGCGACGCGCGCCGCTCGCCCGAGTCACCCGCCGCAGCGCCCGCTCCCCGCGCCGCCGCGCTCCTCGCCCCGCGTCTGCCCCCAGGATGGTCGGTCCCAGGCACCAGCCCGGCGGGCTTTGCCTCCTGCTGCTGCTGCTCTGCCAGTTCATGGAGGACCGCAGCGCCCAGGGTAAGCGAGGGGGGATGCGCGGGGAGGCCCGGCTGCGGGCAGGGGTTTGTACTTTTCTGTGGTCCGCGCTGGGTCTGTTCTAAGCAACGCTGCTCTCGGAAGATGTTGGACCAACTTAGCGACTCCAGGATGGAGCAGAGTGGGAAAACTGAAGGCAGTGACACTTCAGGACTGCCAGCCGAGTTTGGAGCTCGAGTAAGGAAAGGCAGTAAGCTCGAGTCTCTCTCAGTAGTTAGGGTTAGATGCTCCAAGTTCTGGACATAATCGGTTTAGATGTTATCTCCCCTATTTTGGCTCTGAAGAAGGGGACAAGCATCAGTAGCCTGGAGATTTCAGTCGATCCATTTACAATCTAACCTCTTTCCCTCCTACGTCTTTTGGATACTTTTAAAAAATGACTGGGGGATGGGGGGAGATACTGAAATTTCTTTGGTGGCTGGGGGACGTGGTTTCAGCAACTTTGCCCAAACTTGGAGATGTGGGTGCTGAAAATTTTAGAGGGAAGAGTAGCTTTCTGCCTAGTGGATGTTTCTTCCAACCCCCTCCCCCCAAACCCCGCAAAAAAAAAAAAAAATTACCCCGGTGTGTTTTGAGTTTTAATTTTTTCTTCTGTGCCTCATTCCTCCGACTAACTTTATGTAGAACAGCGAGGAGCTCACAACTTATTTAAATTCCGAGATGTATTAAGAGCAAATTTCTAAAGTTTGGGGGGGGGTTATTAAATTTATTTCAATTAGTCTTTGGGCACAGTTTTTTTTTTAAATAATAATAATAGCAGCTTGCGGTCCAATTATTGTTCAGATTATATAGATGATTCATAAGAAGTCTTCCTGACCAAAATCCTAACATGAAAAGGGGGGAGGAAGAAGGGGAAATTACTTGCAGAGATTTCTCGGTAGGTATGAGATAGGTGTATATTACCGTGAAATAGTAGGAAGCCTCCCCCTTTTCTTTTTTCCCCTACACTTTTGTTGAGACAGACCTGTAACTTCCCCTGCTTTAGCGTTAACGTTTTGAGTGTGTTGTAAACTGTCCCCCTGGGCACTGCCCCTCGCCGTCGGCACCGCACTACTCTGAGTTGCCCGCCTTTCGGGGCGAGGCGCTGCCTAGGTGCCGCGGACGTGGGCGCCGGGGAAAGCAGCCCTCGGAGATTTCGAAAGATCGCGGTGGCCGCGGGCGTCCTCTGGGTCTGGCGGATTGCAAAACGGGCCGGGCCGGCTGGCGGGCGGGCTGCGCCTCGAGGCCGCACAGGGCAGCTCCGGGCAGGGCCCGGTTGCTTTTTTGCTTTCATTTTTCACAAGTGCCTTGTGCTTGATCTATTCCTGTTGTGTGTGTCTGTGTCGGTCTCCTTCTCTTCTCTTTCTCCCTCTCTCTCAAGTTCTCCTACTTTCTTAACCCCTGTCACAAATAATACCCGTACCGCCTACATGAAACCGACATGTAAAAACATCCGTCGCATCCTGTTTTTGTCAGGTTCTTTAATCTGCCCTTCGAGCCGCTGCAGGTTATGAAATGGGACGAATAAAAGTAAACAGTCTAGTAAAAGTCAATGCAAGCTGCACGTGTTGTGTCTGGGTCACTGGTAACTGACATTGATATGGCTGGGGCGCTCTGGCTTCTCGCTCTCGCCTTGCTTCCCCCTCACCCACCTCCCACCTCTTCAGCCGGATTTTTCCCCCTGCCTTCCCCCACCTCTTCACTCCCTTCGATTTATTTTCTGCTTTTCTCTCCCGTCTCTCTCTACTCCTCCACACTCACTCCCTCCCCATCCCTGCTGGGTCTCCTTCCCTCGCAGGCTCGCCGCCTCCCTCCCCCTCCCCTGCCTCTCTCTCACCCACCTCCCACCCCTGTCTCCTCGCAGCTGGAAATTGCTGGCTCCGCCAAGCAAAGAACGGCCGCTGCCAGGTCCTGTACAAGACAGAACTGAGCAAGGAGGAGTGCTGCAGCACTGGCCGCCTGAGCACCTCGTGGACCGAGGAGGATGTAAATGACAACACGCTCTTCAAGTGGATGATTTTCAATGGGGGCGCCCCCAACTGCATCCCCTGTAAAGGTAGGACTCTTCCTCCCCGGTTGTCAGGCCCTCGGTAGAGGGCGTCTTATCCTCACCCTCCCCATTGCCCAGCTGGGGTTTGGGACTAGGAGAGTTTTGTTCGCGGGTTCCATCTTCCCCCAGTCCCTGTAAGCCTTTCTGGTTGAATCTTGCCTGTTACACACTACAGGCAAAACACGGTTCCCAGAGGTTCCCGACTTCCTAGCCAAGTGCGGTGGTGAAGCCAGCACACTCGCCCTATTCGAGAGGGATTTGGGTCTAGGGTGCAGGCCACTGCCCCCCCACCCCCACCCCCTCCGCAACTTCCAGGAGAGAGCTGGACCCCTCTGGTGGAACTCTTGGCCACAGGGTGGTACCAGGCCTCCACAGCCCTCCTGGCTGACCTGCCTACTGCCTGGCCCTGGTTTTGATCCATGCCTCTTTCCACCTCGTAGAGACCTGCGAGAACGTGGACTGTGGTCCCGGGAAAAAATGCCGAATGAACAAGAAGAACAAACCCCGCTGCGTCTGTGCCCCAGATTGTTCCAACATCACCTGGAAGGGCCCAGTGTGTGGGCTGGATGGGAAAACCTACCGCAATGAGTGTGCGCTCCTCAAGGCCAGATGTAAAGAGCAGCCGGAACTGGAAGTCCAGTACCAGGGCAAATGTAAAAGTAGGTCCGACCTGGCTCCCCTCCTACAGCTTTCCCCCCTGAGGTGAACCCACTGGAAGACCCCTGAGGGACGGTATAGTCCACTCTAAGAGCCTAACAATAATGATGATGCAAAATAAAGTAACCCTTTTTTATATTCTGAAGACTTCATAAGAACACTGAGGGGATCGACCTAGAGTCGTAGATTTTCTCTTGAAAACCACAAGGCTCCCAAAGTGCTTTTTGAAAAGCTGGGTACTTCCCCTTTATGACTTCCTTGATAATACCAAATGCTCACTCCCTCAGGGCAGGAAGCGCCTATCATTGATGTGTGTTTCCCTCTTTATTTCAGAGACATGTCGGGATGTTTTCTGTCCAGGCAGCTCCACATGCGTGGTGGACCAGACTAATAATGCCTACTGTGTGACATGTAACCGGATTTGCCCAGAGCCCACTTCCTCTGAACAGTATCTCTGTGGGAACGATGGAGTGACCTACTCCAGTGCCTGTCACCTGAGAAAGGCTACCTGCCTCCTGGGCAGATCGATTGGATTAGCCTATGAGGGAAAGTGTATCAGTAGGTATTCTGGATTAAGGAAGGAAAATGGAAACAGGATCAGAAAGGCTAGTTGTAGTGTTAAAACCGTGGAGTTAATCAATGAATAAGCCTAAGGCCTCTCCATAATGCATGGTTTCACCAAAGGGAGAAATACTCCCCAGTTTGGGTAAACTGTGGTAACCACAGCATTCTTCAAGAAAACAGTTACCTTCCAGAAGCATTGGCATATATGTTGAAATGCCAGCAAGAAACAGGAAACAATTTTCTGTCTTAGGAAACTTAGAACTCATTCAATTTTACACATATTTTAGGTGCTAGACTTGCTGGAAGCAAGAAATAATTGCTTAACAGTTCCTAAAGTCTGTTACCAGATTCTAATAACTGATGGAATTTTTATTTTTCAAAAGATCCTACTTGTGGGAAATAAATACATTTTTAATTCAAGAATACTGTGATAACCTGTTCCCCAGAAATACTATTTTCGTGTACTAATAGGGTATGTAGGAAACATGTGCATTTGAGTTTCAGTTTTATAATCAAGCATTTTTGCATAATGCCTCCATTATCCTATTAGTGAGTTGGTGTTTATTGACAGGGGACTAAAGTAAGGGAGAAATGGGGAAAAGGGGAAATCAATTTACTCATCCCAGGCGTATTATATCCTAGAAGCAAAGTCCTGTGAAGATATCCAGTGCACCGGTGGAAAGAAGTGTTTATGGGATTTCAAGGTTGGCAGAGGCCGGTGTTCCCTCTGCAATGAGCTGTGCCCTGAGAGTAAGTCTGAGGAGCCTGTCTGTGCCAGCGACAATACCACTTACGCCAGTGAGTGTGCCATGAAGGAAGCTTCCTGCTCCTCGGGGGTGCTGCTGGAAGTAAAGCACTCCGGATCTTGCAACTGTAAGTGCGATTTTAACCTTGCTGCCATTTGAGGCTTTCCCAGGCAAGCCCTAGGGAATGGAGACGTAAAAAGCACAAAAACCCTCCAATAGAAGCCCATTTCTCTTTAAATTAGGTAACTGCTAAATTTCACCAGCAGTTCAGTGGTCCACAGAAAAATGTCCCTGGAATGTTTCTGGCTTTAGGACTTGTCCAGTGATCATCAACGGGCTTGCCTCTAAAAACCTACTTCTAGTCATTTGCCCCTAATTCTTTGGCTTTAGTCATGTGCTTTGCCGTTTGCTTTATTAACACTTGAATCTAAACTAACTGCTTCAAAAGTCTTTTTTTCTCTTTTTCAAAGACAGCTTTCTGTGATCACACACAGGCGGCTGCTTTTCGCAGTTGCCTCTACTAACTCTGAATTAAGGACCCAAAGCAGTTATACCTAGAACACAAGAGCGCTTTTTATCTAATTTCAGGAATCTGCCCGTAAAACCTGAGCCATTGATTCTTCAGAACTTTCTGCAGTTTTTGACTTCATAGATTATGTTTAAAACAAAAAAATTTTTTTTAAACTTATTGCATAACAGCAGATGCCAAAAACAAAGCATCTCACTGCAAGTCACATAAAAATGCAACGCTGTAATATGGCTGTATCAGAGGGCTTTGAAAACATACACTGAGCTGCTTCTGCGCTGTTGTTGTCCGTATTTAAACAACAGCTCCCCTGTATTCCCCCATCTAGCCATTTCGGAAGATACCGAGGAAGAAGAGGAAGATGAAGACCAGGACTACAGCTTTCCTATATCTTCCATTCTAGAGTGGTAAACCCTCCACCAGTGTTCAGTGTTCACATAGCCTTTGGCAAAAACAAAAAAAAGAGGGGGGGAGAAAAAAGAAAAAAAATATATTGTCCATACTGTAAATAAGTGTATGCTTATTTATTTGGGGGGAAAACTATACATAAAGGACTTTTGTCCTAGAACTCTCTCCCAGGCCACCTTGTTACTCATTGGTCCCGGAGAGGCAGTCATTGTGAGGTCTACTGGATGAGGCCCATAGTTGAGACTTGTAGACATTTATTTATACTGTGTCATGTTTTATAATTTATACATAAAATGTCTGGTTGACTGTACACCTTGTTTTTGAAGAAATTTATTCGTGAAAGGAAGAGCAGTTGTTATTTATTGTGAGGTCTCTTGCTTGTAAAGTAAAAGCTTTTTTTTTTCCTTGTAAACCATTTAAGTCCATTCCTGACTATTCACTCACTCATCTGTCTCCCTTCAGTTCACTGTTATTAGACTCTTTCCCACTTTAACAAACTTGCATGTCAGTTTCTGTCATGTTTATTTATTGGATTCTCTGCTGCCTGTTCTGTACATACATGATCCCTCGGGTTTTGTTTACAAGGAATCTTGACTGACCAAAAGGCGTGATAACTGACTCAACTAGAAGGTACAGAGGATACATCTTTGAGGAAACTCCTAGTTCCGCTCTCTTGTCATGATTTGTGAGAGAAAGGGTGATAGTAATGTTAGAATTCTCAGAATATACTTTTAAGATGTTACAAATCCAAAGAAATTGAGTGATATGGGTATCTGGAGACTGAAGGAAGGGAATGCTGTACATTAAACCTTTTGTTAGGTGTTTCCTTTAAGCTAGTGTGCTGTACCTCCAGAAAGTTCTTTTTCAAACAGTGTGTCACTAAAAGTTATATCAAAGCTTTATCAGTTCAAGTTTCTTGCTTTTCATACTTTTTTCTGATGCAATTTTATATTTTCAAACATGGCAAGTTAAATATAAATTCATTTAAATATATAGTTTTGTACTTTTCTACCATGTAAATGTGCAATGTATATAAAAGTTATAATGTGTATTTGTAAATAAATGATGAGTGAAAAAATAAAAAAATTTTAAAAAGCCAATGGTCTCACTTGTTGATATGTGGAAGAAGTTGTTGGGGCTTTTGAGTTAAAGTGTGTATGATACATTTGCTGAAAAGTAGAGTGAGCTCCAAACTGAGGTAAATTACCAATCACTTCAGTGGAGTCTGAAAAATAAAGGGATCTGAGGTCCAGCAACCCCTCTGCAGGAGTGACTGCATACCTAAAAACACCATCAGCTTTGCTGTCCTTTTGTAAGCTCCTCTCCATAGCCAGGGGAACCCTTTATCTTCCTTCATGTAAATGAAATGGATCTTAGATCTTTAAAAAACAAAGCACATCACAAGGAAAAGTGAAAATAGACTAATACTTGACAAGCACATTCTAGAAATCAGAATATCAAGTACAGAAATAGGCATTACAGGGTTGGAATTCTAGGGACTCGGAGTGAGGATGGGGCAGAAGTGGATTTCCACAATGACCTCCATGGTTCATCGGGATTATGTAATGACCCTCAAGAGAATGTGTGTCAATATTTTGCAGGTTACATTAAGAGCCAAGTCACATTATTAGAGCCTAGTCCCTGTAATACATAATAATGCAAAACTAGATAATACAAATTGTCCAATTCAATGAGTGCTAATTCATTGCCTAAGTATATTAAAAATATCAAAGGAATGAAAGATGCAAAGAAATGAGGACTGGGTCTGTGGGAGGGAAAGAGCAAAGAACAGTCAATATTGCCAACATTGCTCAACTAATAGATAGGATCTTTCTTTCAAAACCATGACCCAAGATCTTTTTAAAAATTTTGTCTCTTCTGAAAACCCTCTCTAATACAACTATTAAAAATGATTGTAGGGGACTCTTGGCTCTCAACTGTGGTCACCAAATTTGGTGGAGGACGAGGGGCCTCTTAGATAGGGAGTAGTTTAAATAATGATTGGGAACCTGTTTGCCTTCAGCCCCAGCTTCCCAGAGAAAGGTGAAAGGGAGTTGCAGAAGACAAACAGACTGCCATTAACCCTGGGGAAGACAAGGGTCATAACTTCTCCAGTGCCCAGAAGCTACTGGCGGCCACTAGGGATGGGCTCTTGGGAAAGGAAAGAGCAGCAGATTTGGTTTCACAGCCCTTCCTGGAATTGATTTGTGACTTCGTCGTGGGATGCTACAGACATTTTAAAGCTGCCATTGACGATCAGAGTAAAAACATCAGATTTAACAGGGACCCATGTGTGTCTTAGTAAGGGGGAGTGATAAAATCAACAGCTTGCCTTTTAAACAACATCCTGATTATTCAAAATTTTTTATTTTATATTTGTCAGCATCAGTCTTTCCTCTTACACACTAGACAGTATCTCATTTTCCTTCTTGGGAGTTCCCTACTTTTCCAGTAATCCTGAATTCGATTAATTAGAACCAAAAAATAGAAGTCTCTTCTAAAATTAAAATTAGATTAACATCATGAGGCTATTGTTAGAAGTTCAACTATGATTCAAAAAGTCTTTAAAAAAAAGTCTAATTCACTTATGCGTACAATATCATAGAAACAGTTACTAGTAACTAGCTAACTAATTAAAACTAGTTTTAATTAGTATGACCAAATCCTAATCATCATTAGAAATTATAAGATATCAAGTAATAATGAAAAAATCTATCAGAAGTCTAATTTTCATCATCAGATCATCAGATGTCCACCTAAATTAAGATTTTTATATACTGTATGAGTATGGCTTCTAGACTATAGCAAAAATGAAATCTGGCATAATCAGAATTACTCTCAAATGTGACAGCTAAATGCAGTAACTGAGCTTAGACTGCATCCTGTACCCAAGGAAGAAAATCCTATAAATAACATTAAAGGGCCAATTGACAAATTGGAATACTGTCCATAGATTAAAGTATTGAATTACTGTTGAATTTACTGAAATTAACTACTGTAATGTGGTCACAAAAGAGACTATACCTACACTTAGGAAATACACACTAATATATTATAGAGAAAGGGCCAAAAAGTGTAACTTACCCTTAGAGGATTTAGAAAGAAAAAATATAACGTTATGGTTTTTTCCCCATATGTATTCTGAGAAAGCACACAAATGATAAAAAAATTAGATAAAATGTTAACAATAAGTGAATTTGAGTAAAAGGTATATGGGTATTTTTAATGCTCTCTTTACTTTTGCAACTTGTAAGTTTGAAATTATATCCAAATAAAAAGTTTAAAAATCTAAAAAGTCCTTCTCAAGGAGAGGTACACAGTAGACTGCTTCTTGCATTCTCTAGGAAAGCAACGGAAATATTAGAGTCATTTAAAAAAATCTTTTCTATGACCATAAGTCTCTGGAAAATAATTCCAGTGACTTTACCAAGGCTACTTGAAGAACCAAAATTGGCAATGAGAGAGTCCATGGCACCTAAACCATACCCAAACTGAGACACAGCCTTTTCTTTTCTATAATCATCTTAAAATTTAGAGTGATTAGTAACTTTACTAAAACACTGTAAATGCCCTAAAGCCCTGGTTTTTTCCACTGCTTGCTATATATTATTTGCACAAGTAATTTAATCACTCTGTGCCTCAGTTTCCCCATGTAAATAGGATAATAAAAGTGTCTCCCTCATAATGCTGAAAGAGAAAAGATGTGTAAAATGCTTAGATGGGTGCCTGGCACATAAAAAAAAGTCCGTAAATGAGTGCCCTCTAAGATTATAATAATTGTTATTAATTGGGGCACCTGGGTGGCTCAGTCGTTAAGCGCCTGCCTTCAGCTCGGGTCATGATCCCAGGGTCCTGGGATCAAGCCCCCGCATCAGGGTCCCTGCTCGGCGGGAAGCCTGCTTCTCCCTCTCCCACTCCCACTGCTTGTGTTCCCTCTCTCGCTGTGTCTCTCTCTGTCAAGTAAATAAATAAAATCTTAAAAAATAATAATAATAAAAATTGTTATTAATTAAAGAAAAACAAAGGTGGAAGTGTGGCTCATCAACCAAACTCTATCCTGAAAATGCAAATGAATGAGGAATGGCACCAATCAAGACCAGAAGCACAATTGTGAACAGTTTTTAAATGGAAGGTAAATATATAATTTTAAAGTATTTTAGCCATGTTAATATTTAACAAAATTCACAACATTGTAGGTGCTATACCAAGAGTACACAATTCAAAATAACAAGTTTAGGGGTGCCTGGGTAGCTCAGTCGGTTAAGCATCTGCCTTCAGCTTGAGTCATTATCTCAGGGTCCTGGGATCAAGCCCCCACGTCTGGCTGCTCACGGGGGAGTCTGCTTCTCCCTCTGCCTCTCCCCCAGCTTGTGCTTTCATTCTCTCTCTCTCTTTCTCAAATAAATAAATAGAATCTTAAAAAAAAAAAAAAAAAGTTTAAATATATTATTTCCTATGGAAATTTTTTAAAAATCCACTAATCCACCAATATTTCCAAAGCCACAAAATACATCTTTTGGGGACGCCTGGGTGGCTCAGTTGGTTAAGTGACTGCCTTCGGCTCAGGTCATGATCCTGGAGTCCTAGGATCAAGTCCTGCATCGGGCTTCCTGCTCAGCAGGGAGCCTGCTTCTCCCTCTGGCCCTCCCCCCTCTCATGAGCTCTCTCTCTCTCATTCTCTCTCTCTCAGATAAATAAATAAAATCTTTAAAAAAAAAGTGTCTTTTGTCCTTTTCTCACACACCCAATATAATCCCAGGCAGCCAATTAAATCAATCTTCTTTCATTTTGATATGATTTCCTACATAAGGACTACAGATTCCTAAAAATAGTAATGAGCTATTTTCAAACTGTCAAAAATCTTAATGCAAATTGTATAATTCCGAGAAACAAAAAGATGATATATTATTTAATTAATAAACTCATTTATGACGGAACATTTATCAAAACCTGGGTCCTAAGACAGACACATTTCTGTTCTTCCCACTCCACTTTCCATTCAGATCAGCATACAGTCATTCTTCAGCCAAAAGTTGTCATGTAAATAGACTCCAGGCATGCCTGCCCTGCATATTCAGCAGAC